GGGTTATGACAAATATATAATGACATGTATCTACCATTATAGTGTCATACATAATTTTTTTTCTTTTTTTTTTTTTTTTTTTGAGACAATCTCACTTTGTTACCTTTGGTAGAGGGCTGTGGTGTCACAGCAATCTCCAGCTCTTGAGCTTGGGCAATTCTCTTACCTCAGCCTGCCCAGTAGCTGGGACTACAGGTGCCTGCCACAATGCCCAGCTACCTTTTTGTTGCAGTTTGGCTGGGGCCAGTTTCAAACCCAGCACTCTATATATGGGGCTGGCGCCCTACTCACTGAGCTACAGGCACGCCCAAATACGTAATTATTTTTTAAAAACATCTTACCAACATGTACTGAACAATTCATGGATAAAATAATGCTGGAATTTGCTTCAAAATAATTTATGAAGTGGCTAAAAAGTTGAAATATAAATGAAAAAAGATTGGCCACGTGAGGCTAGGCGGCTCTTGCCTATAATCCTAGCACTCTGGGAGGCTGAGGCGAGTGGATTGCCTGAACTCACAGGTTGGAGACCAGCCTGAGCAAGAGCAAGACCCCATCTCTAGAAATAGCTGGGTCTTGTGGCAGGTACCTAATAGTTCCAGCTACTCAGGAGGCTGAGACAAGAAAATCACTTGAGCCCAAGAGTTTGAGGTTGCTGTGAGCTATAATGCTAGGGCACTCTACCGAGGGTGACAAAATCAAGACACTGTCTCAAAAAAAAAAAAAAAAAAAAAGATTGGCTGTATGTTGATAATCTTTGAAGCTGGCTAATGAGTACATGGGAGTTTGTTGTATTAGTCTATTTTTATATGCATTTGAAATTTTTACCTCTTCAGATAGAGCAGGAGTCCAAGTTAAAACTGAAGCATGATTTTTCTAGGTCTAGGATAATCAGACACTGCTGGTAACAGAATGTGAAATTCTAGAACTAAAGTATGCAAAAGTAATGATACTTTCTTATTTAATTTATAGGGCCTGAGAGTCAGTACACTAAGACTGCTCAGGAGATTGTGAACGTCTGTTACCAGACATTGACTGAGGTAGGTAGTAAAGAAGTCTCCTTATGATATACCTTTTGTAAATCCTTTTGTTCCCTTGAGTGGAAAGCCTTCCCTGACTTTATCCCCCTCCCCACCCTTACTCTGTTTCTTTCACTATCTTGTTTATTTTGATCACCTGTGTCTTGCCACTAAAATAAGAGACAGGGATATTTTTGTTGTTTTACCTAATTTTCTGTCATCAGTGCTTAAAATACATGTTCAGTGGGGGCAGGCAGCATCTGGGGCTCAGTGGGTAGGGCATCAGCCTTCTATACTGAGGGTGGTGGGTTTTTGAACCCAGCCCCAGCCAAACTGCAACAAAAAAATAGCCAGGTGTTGTGGCAGGCGCCTGTAGTCCCAGCTACTCAGGAGGCTGAGGCAAGAGAATCACCTAAGCCCAGGAGTTGGAGGTTGCTATGAGCTGTGATAGCACAGCACTCTACCGAGAGCAATAAAGCAAGACTCTGTCTCTTAAAAAAAAATACATGTTCAATGAATTCATTAATTTTCTTTATTTCTCAGTATGATGAGCATTTGACTCAACTTGAGAAGGATATTTGTACAGCTAAAGAAGCAGCTTTAGAAGAAGCAGAATTAGAAAGCCTAGACCCAATGACACCAGGGCCCTACACACCTCAGGTAAGTCTGAGGACTAGGAACCTCCTCTTATAGTTTTCTTATTGGTTTGGGAAATTGGGAGCATGTTAACAGATGTATTTACTGAGATACCATTCTTCTCTGTCCTTCCTCTTCATATGCCTTTCGTGTGCTTTCTTGTCTTCTCAAAGGCTAAGGTGAGTGAGGACCATGGGTCTTGGCGACCTTTTTGAATCCAGAGAAGGTAGTGTGGGATGAATGAGCGGGGTTGGGTGTTAGTTGTTTAGGCAGTATTAATCAATAATGGATTCCTGACTACAGTAGCCAGAGGCATCCTCTCAAAATCTCTGGAGTTCTCTTGATCATGATTTTTGTGGTTCTAAGGCATCCCTACAGTGTAGACTTCTGATTATAGGTATGAGCCATGTTGTTCTACTCAGTGCCTCAGAGGTATCTCTGTGTAGCTCAGATGTCATCCATTTTCCTGGATTGATTCCCCCTCCTAGTACACAAAGACAGGTAGTATTCGTGATGCTCTTAAGTTTACATGTCAAAAGACTAGAAAACAGGATGAATAAGAAATTTTTAGTCTTGGCTCGGCACCTGTAGCTCAGAGGCCAGGGTGCCAGCCACATACACCAGAGCTGGCAGGTTAGATCCCAGTCCAGGCCTGCCAAACAACAAATGACAACTACAACCAAAAATAGCCGAGTGATGAGGTGGGCACCTGTAGTCCCAGCTACTTAGGAGGCTGAGGCAAGAGAATCGCTTAAGCCCAAGAGTTTGATGTTACTGTGAGCTATGACGTTACGGCACTCTACCAAGAGTGACATAGTGAGACTCTATCTCAGAAAAAAAAAATTCTTTATTTTTAGTCTTTCTGGTCTGACTAAACCCTTAAATAAACTGAGAGTCTATTTCCCCCATACTATACTCTTAGAGGGTTGGCATATTTAAAGAATAGGATTTATCCTTTCTTGATAATGTCTCTTAAAAAAAAAAAGAATAGTATTTAACATGATATAATTGGTGCTTGGTTTTTATATTGGAAGCATTGTGGTAAAGTGGAAAGTTTATGAGGTTTGACATAAAACAAGCCTGGGTTTGAGTCTTAGCTCTGCTGCATCTAGCTTTGTCATCTTGGAAAGTTAAATTAACCTCTCTCACTCAGTTACCTTTTCTCTAAAACCTACTTTTCAAGATTGTTATAAACACTAAATGAGTTAATTTGCCAGACACATGGTAAACATTCAATAAATGTTTTCTTTTCTCTATTGTTCATAAAGTTCACCAAAGCTCTTTCAAATTTAACCAAATATTTTAATGCAGAACTTTCCCAATTCCCACAGGAAACATTTTTTTTTTTGATTCTACCAAGGTTTCACTCTGAACTGATAATGCAACCTATGTGATCTCTGTTGGATTATTGCTGTCTGTGTATCTCATTCATACGAACTCTCCCTATCTATCTTTTACTCTCTCTTTCATTCCAAAACCTAGGTTACTGAGGGGCCAGGTATACAGAACCCTCATACTTCTTCAAGGCCCAGAACAAGGAAAGGCTCTTGGAGTGTGTGAGCAGATTAGGTCAAAGGGGCTTGAGTGAGTGATATTGCCCAGGAAGGCCCTATTTTCTAATAGGCCCACAGCTTCCTCAAGGTATTTTCTGGTAAGTTAAAGCCTGGGTATTAGCCACCATTCTCCAGGAGAATCTAGCCACTGAGTAGCACATGGTTTACTCATTTCTAGGATAGCCTAAGCCTAGTCTTTTGGTGAGTCAAAGCCTTGGACCCAAAAGTTATCTTCCTTTCTTTCCTCCCCCTCTCCCATTACCTCAAATGGCTGAGGAAAGCCTATCACCTGTTCTTCCTCTTGAGCAGTAGCTCTTTTTTTTTTTTTTTTTTT